ACACCAGCTGTGAGACATTTGCTTGCCAAGAAGTTGAAAGCAAAGATGGGCCTGATACTAATTTGCAAGGCAGGGGAGGAGGCTGGACGTGAAGAATGTGAGGACAGCTGGATCTGCTCTGACCATGAGGGCAGGTTCCCCCTACTGAACAGTACCCCCACAACCACAGTCTTGGTGGTTTGCAGAATCCTGGGCAGGTGGATCTAATAGGCCATTAGGAAGTGAGGTCAGGAACAGCTACAGAGGGAGAGTGAGTCTGTCTTCAATCCTTACAGACCGTCACCAGCCTAGCCTCAGGCCCCACAGGTCTGACTTGGCACCTGCTGTTTGCATGAGACAGGAGTCACCAGTCTCCAGCTCAGATTGTCAGGTAGGTGGGGTCCAGGCTGATGCTGCCAACAGGATCCTTTTTGGAGGTGACTTTCATGCATGGGTCCTCAGATTTGGGTGTGCTTTAGAATATGCAGGAGCATGCTAAAGATGCCCACTGATATCTCAGAAGAATGGCTGTCATGTCTGTTGGCCTTCTTTTGTGGTTGAAGAAACTGAGGCCAAGGGTAGGGTCTGGATGTAGGTTACTGCTGACGGTCACAGCAGGTCCAAGGGTTTCAACTTGAATGTGTTCTCTAGTCCAATAGATGACTCAGTCGGTGTGACCACCGCGCCTTGTCCCAGGGGTGGAGATGGGTTCTTGGGTTAGCCCCTCAGGATGTTAGGGAAGGTGCACAGATAGCAACTTCCTCCTACATCTTATCTGTGTCCTGAAGCAGAACTTCCACCAGGCTGATGACCTGGGAGGCTGGCTGGACTGCGTCATATTCTGCAAAGAGGTGGCACACGTTCTCCTGTGGTTCAGTCTGGCTCTTGGCCACAAATCCGAAGATCCTGGTGAGAGAGGGCAGTCTGAGTGCAGGTGGGATGCAGGGATGTTATCAGGCTGATGGGAGTAGGTTGGGAGGAGGTGGGGCACTCAGCCTACACCTAGGTCTTCCCTGACCCTCCCCTAGCCAACTGGCTCCAGTACCTGGAAGGAGGTACCTCTCCTATCAGACTGGGAGATCCCTGAGCTCAAGCTCTGGGTCACCTTCATTTTGAATGGGGTTTCCCTGAGGACAAGACCTGTGTAATGCTGGTTAGAGTGGAAGCTCCCTGAGGCCAAGGGTCTACTTGACATCAGTCTGGGGCACCCCTACAGACTATAGAGGTAGAGCTTATGCTTCTTATATAAGACCAAGGGCTCCCAGGCTCACCTCTTCTCCATCAAACTGGGAGCTCCCTGAGGACAGTCCTGTGCTGCCATTAAGGTGGGCTCTTTAGGTAAAGATGGGGCCTCCCTCCTTCTCTAGCTCCTCCCCCTGTTGGGTCTGGGGCCCTGCCATAGGGACACCTCATAGGGTGGGAAGGCCTTACCGGGAGGGCTTGCAGTACTTCTGCCACCTGTGGGAAAGGAACACAACAGAAGTGAGGAATCAGGCTTCGCTCCATTCCTCAGCACTCTGATGAGCAGTGAGAGAGTCTGGCTAGCCACATCCCCACCTGTGGCTCCTGACACCTTGGAGTTCACAGGCTCTCTCAGCCATCTCAGTCCCAGAGTCAGCAGGACATTGCGGAGGGCAGCTAGGCCCAACCTTGAACTTACTTCCGTTCTTCAGGATCCATGCCACAGAAGCGGAGGGTGATGAGTGGGTAATGGCGCCGGAAAAACACCCTGGGTGGAGGCAGGAGAGAAGTGAGGCTGGTTAGGGACTGTCCTGGTGCTATGTCTGGTCTCCAGAATCCCTGGTTCCCCCAAATCTGATATCTGTCTCCCAAGAAGCTTCCAAGTAGACTCCTTATAACCTGCAATGACATTCCTCCTGCTGGGCCTGGCAGCACAGTCTTGTGCTTCTGTTTTCCCATGGAACACATCTGCCTCGTAGCCTCATGTTGTGGTGCTCTGACATCCTCCACCATGCCACTAACTTTTTGAGGATGAGAGTTACATCTGGGTCCTACCTTGCCTCTTCCTATTTAAGTGCCCAGCTCAGTACCAGGCTCCTGCTAGACTGAGTCCCCAAGGGACTGAGTGATTGAATTACACTCTGTGTCCCAGAGGTCAGCCTATGAACAATGCTTCATCAGAGGGTGCAGATGTAATCAGCATCCAATGAAAACTGATTAATTTTATCCCCATCAGTCACAATGATGGAAGCTTTGACAGATGGTCAGTGGAGTAAGTCCTGGAGAAGGTAGGGAACTTGGCAACACCTAGATATGTTGCCAGTCTTATTGGGTACAGGGTCTTGAACTCTGCTGTTATCACTGGTGCTTGGCTCACCTTCCCCTCTAAACCTGATCTGCTAGCCCTACAGCCCCTAGGCCAGGGAAGGCCCTTACTTTCTTTGGACATCTGTCAGGGTGATGCCCTGCTCAGTGACTTTGAAGTGCACCACGGTGGGCGTGGGGAGAACATCCCTCTCTAAGGTGGTTGAAATGGCCTTCTGCACGGCCAGGGCTCCACTCAGGGTCTCCACACTCACAGAGGTCAGGAACAAGGTATGACAACCTGTGGGATGCAAATACCGTGTTAGGTCTACAGCCAGGGTCCTCGGAGTAGGATCACCCCACCCAGGCCTTCCCTCTGCCCAGAGCTGGGGGAGGGGATCCCTTTTCTCTTCAGGATTCCAGTAGGGTCCCCTTAGAGTCATCAAACAGGTAGGGAGTATGTGGGTGATTGAAATTTGAGGCCAATCCCAGAGGGCTTCGGGATGTCTGTCACTTTGCATTGCTCTGGCCCCTGACTCTCCAAGGTGGGACAAGGGAGGGGATGTCACGTTGTGTCCAGGCACATAGAGTAGTAGCTGTCACTGAGAAAAGTGCTGATTGATGTTTGGCTTCTGGAATTAGAGGGAGGGGCCTTTCCTGTGTTGAAGCCCTTAGGACTCAGATCTGACATCCTGCTGATAGGTCCTGACCTAGAGACCATCTCCAGGGCAGTATCTCAGAGGCTGTGAGACCCTGGCATGCATGCATGTGCTCATGTGTGTGCAGAGTGGGCTGTAAGCCTGCCAGCACCCTGCCTACTTCCCTGCTGGCCCATAGCCTGAAGCCTCTCATCTCCTTGTTTAGAGGGGGTGTGGGGGATGAGGCACCTTATTAAAGCTGCAGAAACAAAGCAGTGATGGGAAGCATGTGTGGGCCTGTGTGAGTCTGCATAGGGCAGGGAGGTGCGGGGGCAGGGCGGGATGGGCAGCAGCACGGAGAGCCTGTTCTCTACCCCTACCACTTACCGGCAGATTTCTTCAGGCAAGAGGTGGGGCTGTCTGCAGAGGAGTCGGAGGTCCCATCTGCACTTCCCAATTCTGAGCCACAGCAAAGGAACAAGCCCCCAAGGGGGTGGGGGTAGAGTGAGTGGACCCCTCTCAAGGGAGCAGACCTCATTAATCCCTTTGAACACCTCCCACCTCCACCTCCACCTCCAGGAAGTGACTGACTGAGAAACCAGGTGTGCTGGGCTTGCAAACCTTTTGATCCCTCCCAGCCCCTAGGCTGCTGCTGTGTGTCCATCCCAACTCTAGGCTCTTCTTTGCAGAAAGGATGCTCTCCCCATCACTCCTCTGGGGCTCCCACACCCTTCTCTCTCAGAAATGCCCCTTAGCTCCACCTTCCCTGCACAGCCCTGAAATGATTGACTCTGTCATGTGTAGGAATCTGTTGGGCTGTCTGCTCTGGATGGAGCTGGCTGACCTGGGGTTCGTCTGACTCTGTGTGCCTTTGGGCAAGTTTCTTAGGCATGGGACCTCATTTTCTTATCTGTGAAATGGGCCATAAGAGCTACTATCTACTTCACAAGGTTATAGTAATGTGTGAGTGTTCAAGAAATGCTGGACCTGGGGGAGGGGGCGCTCTCCACACTGTTGAATTTAGGCTCTTTATCTTCTCAAGCATCTATTCTGTGCCAGACACTGGGCCAAGAGCCTTGCTGGGAGCTACCTCACTGAAGCTGCACACCAATACTTTAGGTAGGCATGATGAAGACGAGCCTCATTTTACAGAGAGGGAAACTGAGATTCAGAGGTTAGCATTCTCAAATTTTCACAGCTAGGAAGTGGAGAGGCTGACCCATTCCAGAGCAGGCACTTTTAACCATGACCCTGAAATCATCTATAAGCAGGGTAGAAGTAATCACCGGGAGCCTTTCTAGTGAAAATCAACAGGGCTGGCAGCTTGGCATTGCCTGTGTGGGGCCTGCACCTACCTTTTTGTGGGATGACGAGTTTGCAGGGCAGGGCCAGCGCCATGATGGAATGCTGGCACACGAAGGCAGACAGGCTCCCTGTAAAAGAAAGGGCAGCCCTGCATGAGTAGGGCTTTCCCGGCTCCCTTAACAGGGCAGGATCATTGTATGCACATATGAATAATTAAAAAAAAAAAAAAAAACAGGGCAGGAGAGTAGAACCCCCAATCCAGGGGCCTGGAGGCTATGGAGGCCTCTTAGAGGGGGTGGGAGAAGGCTCACCAAAGTAGGGCTCCTCATCTGCTCCTTTAAGATGCACCCCTTTGGCAGAAGACTCAATGAGGAAGTGTCGGATAAGGTCACTGCCATCCTCACCTGGACAAAGAAAGAAGATGGGAGTTCCAGAGCCTAGTGCTAGCCAAATCCTGGCCCAATCCATCTTGACCCCCACCTCTGGGTCCATCCCAAGGCTCTCTTGCCAGTCACTGTCTCAGGTGGAGTCACAGGTAGGAATCCTAAGTTTAAGACCTTCTCCCAAAGATGCCAGCACATTCACTCAGTGGCTTCTGTGTCCAGTAATTTCCCTTTAGGACAACTTTCTCTTGGTTAAAATGTTCTTAATTACTGCTTAGACCAAATATCAGCTCTTCCATGTGGTTTTCTCTTTACCCACCCTGTTTCTGATGCCATTATTTCTCATTAAATCATCCCTGCTGGAGACAGGCTGGCCCTGGGAGGGCACACTTGCCCTCTGACTCTTCAATGGTCAGCAACTTCCTCCTCCATTTGGGCTCATTGCCTCTTGCAAGGCTTCCTTGAAAGCTACCACCCACCCCAGAGGTTATTTTCCTTTCTCTTTTTATGGTCCTGGGGATGGAATCCAAGGCCTGTGCATGCTAGGCAAGTGCTCTACCACTGAGCTGACCCCCAAACCCCCTCACTTTCTTTCCTCACAGTGAGGCAGAGTATAAAGAACTCAAGTTTGGGTTGTTGATCCTATCACTGAATTATTCTGGGGTCATTAACTCTCTGAACCTCAGTTACTTCATCCATTAAATAAGAGGTATTATCCTAGGGTTTAGGTGAGGGACCATTACCTAGGTACCTTGTACTGTCATTATCGGTTCTCATCTATCTTCCCAATGAGGTGGGATCTGCCTGTAGTTCCCCCAGGTCTCTGGTTCCTTACATAGTATCTGGCACATGGTAGAGATGTGTGTTGAGTTACCAGATGAGGGTATGAGGTCAAGGGAAGGCACATGATAAGCTATCATACATGCATGATGTGCTATTACACATATGTGATAAGCCAGTGCACACACATAACGACTTTAGGTTCCCTGGAGATGAATCCATTCTGGACAGAGGTGAATCTCCAGAAGACCACAGCCTGGGGAAGGGGCTGGGACCCTCTTCCTCCTTTTCCCACCATGAGGGTGGAGCAGGGAATTTGAGGGACTGGGGAAGGCAGAGGCAACTCAGATTTGCAGTGAAAGAGGCTTTTTATGGTGCCTCAGTGCTGGAGGGCAGCTGGGAGAGCCAGGAAGTGGACGTTCCTTCCAGAAGTCACTAAGGAACTGATGCCAAAGTGGCCTTGAGAGCTAGTGTCAGGTTGGCATAGAGCCCACCACACCCCGTGGAGAGCAGAGACACGTGCATACCTGGTCGGCTCTGGGCAGATGCTGGGGGCTCCTGCACCTTCAGGGCAAGGCCGAAGGAGCCTCGGTAGGAGGAGCTGTCCCTGATGACGAAAGTGCCTGGCTCCGCCTTCCTCAGCAGCTCAATTGCTGTAACAATCCTTGGGTCAGAGGCAGATACCACCCTACATGGACACTCTGTCCCCAGCCTGATAGGGTCGTTACAAAATCACCTTTTGTTCCCAGGCAGTCCTTTCCACTGTCTAATCTCTGTGAGTTTTGCTGTGATTCCTATTTCCATGAGGTCAGCAGGACACTGCCCCCACCTTCCCTGAACCCACTATTTGCTAGTCCCTTTATCCCTATGATCCTGGCCCCACTGGCCTGTTGCAGAGTGCAGGACCAGACCCGCTTACTGAATCACCTGTCCCCTGAAACATAATGCTTCCTTTTACCTTGCTCTCGGGTGATGCTTGGCTTAAACCAGTATTTAGATGTGTCCATCACAAATTTCATGTTGGGCTGCATGTCCCTGGCAGGACCTGGAGACAGACAGAGAAGGGGGACACTGCAGGCTGGACAGAGGGTTGCTGAGAGAGATCAGCAGAGTATGCTAAAGTCCTGTGCTGTTCCTCTGCCCAGAGGTCCCATTCGACCCACCCTCCCTGACCCTATCCGCACTGGATCTCCATACTATCTAAAGAAGCATTGCCAAACAAGGATTCCAGTGTTTGGTGCATCTGGGACTTCAAAGTCCCCTGTATCTTTGGTAAGGAATCAAAACTAAATAGATGAAAAACCTAATTTGCCTGGTGGACACTGACATAAGGATAGATAAAAGATTCTTGGGTGTGAGTTTGATTTTACACTGTTGTCTCCTTTCCCTTAATTCTGAGACTACATTGAGCTTTGAACTCTCTGAAGGGCAGGACAACAATAGTCCTGGCTAGAAGAACCTGTGCCCAGAAGTCAGGAGCCTGGGCTCTTGACTGATTTGGGAAAATGGTTCAGATTTCTGAAGTCAGTCAGTGGGCTAAACAACCTCAGGGGGTCTTTACTGTTCCATAAGCCTGTGAAATGAAAGTGATTTTTTTTGTTGTTGTTTTTGGTGGTGCTGGGGATGGAACTCAGGGCCTCATGCATGCTAGGCCAGCAACTCTACCACCAAGTTCTACCCCAGCCCATGAAAATGAAGAATATTTTTCAGAATTTGGTAAGATCCTGGCATGATATTCTTCTAGGCATCACCAAAGCAAAATGGGAATATAACCCAGCTGAGCTAGTATGCTCTTTATGACACCAAAATGCCCATGTTCCTGTGTCCCTAAGGCAGAGAGCAGTGATTCTTAATTTTAGCATCTTAAGTTATGTTGTGGCCAGTTGAGAGTAACTCTTCATAAAAAAGCAATGCTATAATCTGCAAATGATTTGTTCTAGGAAAACTATCAGAGCAGATTCAAAGGTACATCTGTCACCTCATCTCCTCCTGCTTGTATTGATGCATATGTGGGAATGAGCAGTGGGCTACAGTGAGCTCTTCACACCCCCAGGAGTCACCTTGGGAAGTCCAAGGTGGATCCAACCTTGGATGGCGATGGCAGGGGGAGGAGACGGGGCTCTGCTTGTGGGAGGTGTGCGCCCAGGGGGTGCTACAGCTCAGCCTGTGTGTTTACTGCTGTGGGTTCTGTTAGTTGTGTTCTTTTTGGATGCCTGAAGTCACAGGCTCCGGGAAGGAGGGTGTTTGGTGTTTTGTGGTTTTCAGCTGTCTGTGTTGGAATGCATTGTCTCCATTCCCTGTTCACCCCCTCTGTGTTCTCGTCATCCACTAACGTCAGAGTGAGCACTGACGCGCCTTCTGGCTCTCCTTGGGTTAGTCATCAATCTGAGCTTGGACATCCCGAGGGTTGTCTGGCTCTGTCCTTGCTCCTCCACCCCCAGAGCCCTGCCCTGGCTCTCTCCTGTGGAATCCATCTGCCACACAGCTGCCAGGATGAACCATTAAGCCTGAACTACTGACTCTAGTCTGTCCAGAATCCCTGTTCCAGACTCTGATGGCCCCTTGATGCCTAAAGGGTAAAAATCCAGTTTTCAGTTTGGTGTTCAAGGCCTTTCACAATCTGGTTCCAGATTACTCTCGATTACCTCACCTGGCACCCAACATTCCAGGCATTTCCTAAATGCACTACATGCTTGCACACCGTCCTGATTGTGGAGTCCCTGTTCTCTCTGCAGGGGTTGCCCTGGGCATGCACTTCCTTTCTGCTTTCTGGATCCAGCTCCAATGTCATATCCTCTGCATTAATCGCTTCTTCCTCTGTCACTCACAGGACCAGAACATCTGTACTTCAGTGCTTACCTTAATCTACAGCTATTCTTGGTTTTGGTCTCTTTTTCTAGACTGTCATTTGTGTATCTTCATGACCTGGCATAGTGCTGGGCACATAGTTGGTACTCAATAAAACTGTTGATTGGCTGTTGCAGAAACCCATTGGGTACTTTATCTATCCCTGCAACTAAACCTTTTAGTGCTTGAGATGTTAGTTTACAACATACCTTCTGGGGATGTGGAGAAGGCAGCATCTGGTAGGGTCTGGCTGTGGCTCTTGGCTTGACAGGGGTGGCTGGGAGAAGTAGTTCCAGGCTGGACAAAGCCCTGGTGTCCTGGTGTCCGCTGAGGTGGGGGAGACTGTGGTTCTGGGCAGCCGTTAATCAGCACAATGGGTATGTCCACCATGGAGTTGGTGATGGATGGGGGGCAGCTGCTGGCCTGCTCTTTGGCCACTGTGGGGGAGTGGGCTGCTTTGGGCTGACCCACGCTCAGGGTAGGGTTGCTGGGGGCTTGGATGTCACTGGGTTTCACACACAGGGACACTGGACCAAGGCTATGGAGGCTGGAGTTAGAGCTAGCTGGGCTTCCCAAGGATCTAGAAGACGACTGATGGCTGGAGATGCTGGAGTGGAGGAGGGACTGGCTGCTGCAGGAGAGAGAGTAGGGGCAGGGGTTAGAGTGTTGGGGTGGACACCTAAGGCCAGAGAAAGGTTTCAGAATTTAGCCATGTGGGTGCCATGGTTTTGATCAAATAAAGCACTGCCTACCTGCCATCCCAAGCCCAGAGCAAAGGGTGTGCCCACCCGTCCCATAAGGATGCTGAAGAATAGAGAAATGACCCTGCATTATAGGGTCTTTGGTCATCTAAAGGAGCTGGGTATGGTGCACATGCCAGTTATCCCTGCACTGTCCTACTGAGACAGTAGGATTGCAAGTTCATGGCCAATCTGGGCTATATAGTGAGACCCTGACTCAAAAACAAAACAAAACAAAGTTAGAGTAGTCAATGAGCTGACCCCCTGCAGGCTATGTTGGCTTAGGCTGACCTGGATTCCCTCTGCTTTCCCAGCCAGGCAGGTCTGACTGAATGGTCACTGCAGGTTCTCACTTGTCCATTCATCATTCTCAAGAACCCTGCAGACATGCTGGCCCTGGGCTGAACATGTCCATGGCTGATGCAGATGGAACTCCCCAGCTGCAGGATGAGGAGGCCAGTTCTGCATCAAGCCAGTAGGCATGGTTGTGGGATTCCTGGTCTCTTTGCCAGCTTCTGTGGTTTGGTCTTCCTGGGGTATGATGGGGTGTGTGTGCAGTTCTACTGCAGAAAAGTGAGATGGGACCATTGTAAATATTCCCAGGCAGGTTGGCCCCTAATACTACATTTTGTCAGTGACAAAAGGAAGGAGGCTTTCATTCTTAATGGTTCACCTCAAGCCCCCAGAGTATAAGTACATCCCTGTTTTTGAAACCCTTCCTGTCAGGGCTGGAAAGGACATAGGTAAGATTCATTAGTGCAGAGGCTTTGTTCTTAGAAGGCAGAAGCCAAGATTTTTGTATTTTGAATTATGTTCTAAATGCCTGAGAGAGTTTGAGATCTGAATGGCTGTTTATGGTAGAGAAGATCTCCCATGCTCAGATTTTTGCTTAGACAGAGTGTGATGTCATATGATTTTATAAAAGCAAAGTCAGAAACTCTGGTACCTACCTTCCAAAAACATAGCTGACATCTGAGGCTGGACTGGCTGATAGCACAGAGACCCTGCTGCCCTGCTGTGGGGTCAGGGCTCTCAGTCCTTTCTCCAAGCCTGGAGAAGCTACCAGTGGGGAGCCTGAGGCCCTGCTCCCCTGGCAAGGGATGGAGATGCTGGGGGAAGGGGAGGGGCGAGAAGATGGACCCCTGCCTTGGCTCCCAGAGAAGATGAGGCTCTCACTGCTGCTTCGAGTCTCTCGGGGGATGTCTCTGGAAAGGAGGAAGCCACCACTGCGTGGGGAACCACAGGGTGGGGTGACAGACGGGCTGGAGCAGCGCTGGAGGCCATCGTGGCACCTTGATCTGGTGGAGGTCACTTCAATATACTTTATGTCTTTGGGTGGAGGGGAGAGAGAGAGAGAGAATGAGAATTGGTGAAACCTGGGAGCCTGGACTCATAGGAAGGAGACTCATGACCATCTGGTCCCCCCTCTTTTATACAGGTGAGGAAACTGAGGCCCAGGCCCAGAGAGGAGAAGTTAGTTGTAATTAGGGTCAGCACTCAGTTCCAGGGTCCAGTTCCAAAGGCAGTAGCTTTGGAATCAGACAGATCTGGGTTTGAGATCTGGCTCTGGCACTTAGGATCTGAGAACTTGGCTAAGTGGCTTCACCACTTTGAGACTCAGCATTCACACCTGTAGAATGACTGACTATGCTCAGCCTCTTGGTGTCACAGGGAGGATGGAATGAGATTGGTGTCTGGCATATAGTAGGTACTTAAAATCTGGGAAATTATCTCTTTCTTCTACCACACCCACACCAGAAAGGTCCTCTTATGCCTCTCTCACTCAGGGTGTATGGAGGCTGCTTCTCTGTCTGCATCCACCATGAAGGCAGGGATTCTCAGGCTTGATTGCACCCCAGAATCACCCAATGAACTTTTAAGAGTTCCACAGCTGGGGCTGCATTCCATACCAATTAGATGGGAATCTTCCAGGGTGGGCCTAGGCCTTAGGTTGGTTTGTTTGCTTGTGTTATTGGTTTCCAGGTGATTCCAAAGTGTTCTAGCATCACTGATATGACTTATGGCCTCACGTCATTGTATCACCTGGGGGTTGGTCAGATGGCAGAATCTCAGGCTCCAACCCAGGTCTGATAATCAGAATCTGCATTTCTGAGAGATGTGGTCACAGCAGATTTGAGAGCTCTGGTTTAGATTGGGAGCTTCCTGAGGGCAGGTATGACTGCACTGCTGAGCCTTGGGCCTTCCAGTCACACATGCTCATGACTGATGCATGCAACCACGGAGACTGGTTATCCAGGAGGCTGGTTATCTGATGCCCTTGGGCTGCTGACTCATTCTTATTCCTCATTGAGGTACTCAGTATTCTGGGGTTTCCAAACCCCTGTTCCTCCTCTGGAGGTGGGGTGGGTTGGCCTATGGCTGTCCCCATGGAGAGAATGGGTGCACCTCCTCCTGACCTGGGGGAGGGAGTTGTCCTGGGGCAGTTCAGCAGAGGTGGTGGGAGTTAGGGATGCAGCAATGGCCCTCTCTGGAGAGCCATGAGCCCTACCTCTGTTTCCCCAAGAAGGACGCTACGGTAGAACCAGTGAGAACCTGTGTCCTCAGCCCCTGTCTGCTGACTTCCCACCTGCCTTGGCCTGGTACAGTTACCTTCCCCCAACCCCAGCCTGCTCCAGCTCGCTCCTGGGCAGGGCCTCCTGGCCTTGCAAATGGTTCCTATCTTTGTCTGAGCCTGCAGAGTCAGGTGGAGGTGGGTATCGAAACACGTGAGCATTACTGTCTTGGGCTGACCTGGGCTTGCTAGTCTAGGGGGTGGAGGAAAAGTCCAGCTTTATAGTCACATGAACCTGGGTGTGAGGCCTGACAATGCCACTTTCCAGTTAGGAAGCACTGCATTACTTTTCTAACCTCCCTGAGCCTCAGTTTTCTGGTCTGCAAAGTGGTGATCTAAACTCAACCTCCTGAGGTTGTGGTGAGGATTAAATACATGGTGACCAGAGCCTGGAGCCTGACCCATAGTGGGCCCCAAGGAAGGAGCACTCCTGTCCTGCTTGCTTTTGGGAGGTAACACTGGCCAAAGGGAGCACTCTTTAGCCAAGGTGGGCATTCTTCTGCTTAGGAGGATGAAGGCTAAAGGAAAATAATTGGGGCACTGTATTATAGGCTCTGAAAGAGAAGAGACCTTGGAGAGGGTGGATTCTTCTGGAAGGCTGGCAAGTGCACCTCTGTAGGGCAGGTCTATGTTTTATAGGACTTTATAGTGTTTATGCCCATAACCACCTTTGAACCTTGTAACAGCCCTTAGGTAGGAGAGGCATTGTTTTTACAGAGGAGAAAACTGACGCTTGGAGAGCAATAGGAGTGGAGCTGACATTTACTGCACAACCACCTTTTTTTTTTTGATGGTACTAGGGTTTGAACTCAGGGCTTCACTGAACAGCAATTTTTAAAAAAGACTAGTATTTGAGTGCTATGTACCAGCACACTACATGTTAAGTGTACTATCTCTTTGAACTCTCACAACAACTCTATTGAAATGTTATTCATTCTCATATAACAAATGAGGAATGAAGGCTCAGCAAGGTTAAGTGAGTTGTCTAATGTCACACAGCTGGGGAGCAGAGGAACTCAACTTCTCCTAAACTCTGTTTAGGGGCCTCTCAGGATGAGGAGGGGGCTCCTTGGGACCCTGTTTGAATGCCTGCCTGTGAGAAGGTGCCTGGTTGCTTTGGGGAGGGTCTCTTGGCTTGGTGAAGCTCCTGGCTCCCTACTCCTTGGGTCATCCAAACACCCCACAAAGACCTTTTGTGGGGGCCAGAGCAGGGCTGGAAGGGAGGGAGGGGCCCTGGAGCTGTGAGTCACCTCCCACTGCTGCCCTGAGGGGAATGTGGCTGGGGAGGTGGAGGCCCCCCTCCCCCCATCATGGGGTGCAGCCGATGTTTACAGGCCTGTAGGGCAAGTCTGAGCAGTGCAGGGTGGATGCAGGCGCCAGCAGCAGGCTGGGCAGGCGGAGGGAGGGCATGTGGGTGGGGGGCGGAGAGACACTTATTAAACACCCTTCCCTTGGGACTGGCAAACAGCCTTGCCTGGAAGAAATTGCTGGAAAATGAAATGTGGGAGCCTGTTCCAAAGATGGGGTGGGAGGTCGCAGAGAGGCTAAAGAGGGGATGGTGTTTGCTTCTAGGAGTCATGATCCCTGCGGGGTGGGGACTCTGTAGGGTGGGTCTAAAGGAAGGAGAGCAAGAGGCAGGGACACAGGACCCAGGGGAAAGTTGGCCAAGTGCTGGGGAGGCCAAGCTTCAGAAGAGGAGTCCACAGACTGTCTCCAAACATGGATTCTGTGATGTCCCAGTGGGCAGGAAACCACCCCAAGAAAGAGCGAAAGATGGGAATATACACTTTGGAGCCCAGAGACCCAGGGTATGAGATCTGGCCTGCCACAGGCTAGCTGTGTGACTATGGACTGTCACTTCCCTCCCTGAACCTCAGTTTCCTCCTGTATAAAATGAAGTCACCACTATGTCCTTCAGACACTGGACCATGTATTACAGGGGCCAGTCTTTTAAAAAGTCTATGTATCCATATCTAGGGGAGGAGTCAATAGAGATTGCCAATTTTTAATTTTTGAACTTTTCCAAGTTAGGGCAAAGAGGAACAGTGAACATCTGCTAGTAGCACGACAGGCTTGTTCCCATGAGGCATGAGATGACACAATGGGGTGTGTAGTGTGTGTGTGTGTGTGTGAGCCCTTTACATTGAGTACATTTAGATGTAAGTGACCTCACTTTGACTTGTTGTCTGAGGCCTGTGAGAGAGTTTTGTCACCTGTGGTGGTGGTCTTCAGAACGGTTTTGGGAGTCTGAGATATGTGGAAAGCGTATAGCTGACCCCTGTGACAGGCCTGCCATTCTTAGTGATGGTAGACAACTTTCTAAAGGCAAGCTGACTTGGCTGGGTGTCTAGGGAGGCAGTGAACTCAGGCATGAAAGGTATCAGAGTAGAGGATTTGTTTTTTTTCTCCATCAGAAGGAACTGAGGCAGAAGTAGACAGCTTTGTGAGGGGCCGTTAGCCACTGTCATCCCCCTTTTTTACTACCTATTCCCCAGAGTTGGGTGGACCTTGCTCACAATGCAGGCTGTGTCCAAGGGATCTGAGGATGCAGACCCCACTGCCTGTCAGCCCCAGGCAGGTCATCAGTCTCTTCCACAGGGGAAGGGCCTAATTGCCATCTACTCCTTCCATGCTTGTGGATGCGCTACAGAGATTGATCTTGTCTCAACTGGCCTTGGACGGGTGGAACCCTTGCCTTGGGGCATGAACATTAAAACCCTGGACTTGCTCCTGCCAACAGTAATTAGGTCCAAGATACTTCCCTGCAGTGACGTGCCCATGACTGGCCTGAAGCAGCGGGAAAGCTCTTGAAGGAGGAGGAAGCTCTTTTAACAGGCCTAGCCTGCCATGTGTGGCAGGAGGAGAGGGAGCAGGCTGGAGACCAGGAGCCTGGGATGGGTGCCAGAGAGCTGGGGTACAGGGCTGGCCTTCACCCCAGAGCCCAAACCTACCCTGGGGCTGCCCCTACATGCAATCCCCATGTTAATAAAAAAGCCACCATTTATGACTCAGTGTGCCAGGATTTGTGGTAAGTAGCCAACAAATGTTATTTCTTTTAATCCCTTTGAGGTAAGAACTCTTATTATCTCCATTTTACAGACGAGGAATGGAAGACAAAAGGAAGTCAAGTAAACAGCTTGTATAAGGTCTCCTGAATCTAGTGGTTAGGATAGACTAGCTTCTTCCTCAACCTGTCAGCCTCAGCTTTTCATCTGCAAAATGGGAGTAAAACACTTTTCAGGGGTGGGTTGGGAGGACTGCAGATTCTGTAGAAAGTGCTCAAAAAGTGGAAGTTATCATGGATTCTATCTGTAATCCTAACTGCACCACTCACTCCTGCCGATTGTTTAAACTGGAGGCCTCAATCTTCCAGTCTGTCTAATGGGGCCACTACTCCTTGACCTTCATCCTCAGAGTATACTTGAAATTCATTCAAGTGTGAGAAACTGAATCCAGATGCAGGGATTTCCAGAATTCCGTTGGAGTCAGTAGCTTGCTAGTGGTGGCTTGTATCAGCTTGTTAAGAGCTGATCGTTACATTTTCAAGAGTTTGCCTAGCTGGTTGCTAAACTCAGGCATTATTAAAAATTATATTATATAAACTTATGATGAAATAATGAACATTAAAAACAGGTAGGCCAGGCATGGTGCAACCCAGGCTACATAGTGAGACCCTGCCTAAGAAAATTAAAAGTAAACCAAACGAAAACAAAAACTGATAAACAAAGCAAAAATCCCCCCCAAAACACAGTCATAACCAAAATCCATCACATTCCACTTGTTTTACATTTTAATCTTATCTATTCTCTTAAATTTTTTATAGTATTGTATTGGTAAACTGGAATTGCTTTTTAAAACAAATTTCGTGGTGCTGGAGATTGAATCCAGGGCCTTAACCAAGCTGGGCAAGTGCTCTACCACTGAGTTACCTACATCCTCAGGTCCCCTTTTTGTTTTTGTAAAAAAGGTTTCTATCTATCTGTCAGTTTGTCTGTCTATCTATATCTGTCTATCATTTACTTATTTTTTTGAGATAGGGTCACACTATGTAGCTCAAGCTAGCCTTGAACTTGTGATCCTCCTGCTTCAGCTTCTTAAGTAGCTGGGATTATAGCTGTGCACCGCCTCACCCGGCTAACATGGTGGGATTGCTATGCAACAGTCGGCTAGCATATCTCTTCCCAACTGCACATTCAGTGATACCATCTTGATAGCTTGCAACTGGCCAGAGTGGGAGAATTTATACCTTAGAAATGGGCAGATGCTTCCAGTCAGGGCACTCTATCCTGTTCCCTAACCAGAGAGCCAGTTGTTAAACAGTTACCATCATGCTCTGCTTAACAACAGGGTTCCCACTCTAAACAGACTGAATTTTGTGTCTCTCTAATCCCACTATTTCTGGCTTGGTTCTCTCCCAAGAAATACTACCCTAAACAGGGACAGGGGCCCAAATAACAATCTTATAATAATTTCAGGGGTGAGGGCATGATAAGATCTAAAGAGAGATACCCTAAAACAGTAAGGTTCAGGGATACCATATTTCTGAAGCCCTTACAAATGTGCATGGGTTGCACAAAACATTCATACACTTTAACTTATTTAAGTTCTCACAAAAAACCACACCAACAAGTGTCTGTCAATTTCCAAAATCATGAACCAAATACAATTGGATAGGTATCTGCTACCCTTTTGTGTAGCAGAGAAAACAGAGAGGTTAGTAATTGTTTAGGGCAACACAGCACCTCCCCCTAAGTCTGGTTCCCAGCACCCTCCTGGCACTGTGCCCTGGATCCTTACCCAGTGCTTCAGGTTCCTCCTTCTTGCTCCTTGAGGTGGTACTTTGGGCAGGCTCAGCCTGGGGGCCACCAGTCCCTGAGGGAAGCAGCTGGAAGGTGGGATCCAGTTCTAGGATCATCTGATTGAGGCTCTCCAGCGAGAAGTCAATGTAGGAATCAAGGTCCTGTGGAGTCCCTGAGGCCTGCTCACCAGGAGACTGCAGGAGGCAGTGGGCTTTGGCCTCAGACTGCAGGGCCTGCGGGAACCTGGTGGGGGGCCCTTTGCAGGGCACGGGGGCCATCAGGGTCTGTGCTCCCCAGCCTTCGGTGGTGTAGTAAGGACACTGAGGCGGCAGGCTGGGGCTAGGTGCTGGACGCAGGGCTGTCCTGGGTTCCTCGCAGGAAGCCAAGCTGACTGTATGGCCTCCCGCTAGCAGGGAACCAGACATCACCTGGGACATTGTGGAGGCAGTGACCCCAGTGGATTGTGTCTGGTTTCCAACTAGCCTCACTTACATCCCAGAAATACAGATTGCTTGCCAATCGGAGCTCCGAGACCTGAAAGAGGTGTGGTGGAAACTGAGTAAATTCAGTAAGTGAAGCCCCTGCCTCTGCTCCCCTCACAGGGCCATAGCAACTCATTTACTTAAAAATACAGATGCTGGGGCCAGACTGCCTGGTTTGCAGCCTGACTCCACTGCTCACTGGCTGTGCAAGTTTGGGTAAGTCAACGCACTTTTCTGTGCCTCAGTTTCCTTATTGATAAAATAAGCTAACATTTGTAACATGTTCAGAATAGTGTGCCTGACACATAAATGTTTTGCAGTGATTATTAAATAACTTTAGTTATGTAAGAGTGTGTGTATTGAATAGCTGTGTCCTAGGCATATTATTAATTAACACTAGCTAATGCTGACTGAGTACTTACTATGCACACAGGCCTTGATGTTTCTACATAAAACCTTTTCATGTCCTCATAACAACCTCAGGAGGTAGGAACCATCATTATTCACTTTAAAATGAGAGACCTGAGACACAGAGAGGTAAATAACTTGTCCAAGGGTCACACAGATAGCAAGTGTCACAGCAGGACAGGACTGTAAACTGCCTGCTGACTGGACTCCTGCACTTAGGCCAGTTGGTGAGTTGGAGAAGTAAGCAGGGGTGCAATGGTAAGGAGTGTCACCAGGGGCTGTTGGAGTGGCTCAAACAGTAGAGTGCCTGTCTAGCAAGTGTGAGGCCCTGAGTTCAAACCCTAGTGCTGCCACAAAAGAAAAAAAAAA